TATGATAGGTCACTATCGCCGGATACCGTGGAAATTATTTGGATACATATTCGAGCTTCGAGGGGCAGCATAGCTTTGGTAGCGACGCTACACCTTCTGACTTGGGTGTAAGTGATTCCCAGGCAGTTCACAGAAAGACGGAACCTTTTAAAGTAAATTTACTTGGCGCCGGGGATCATGGGTTCGATTCTGGCATGGGACAATTATTTGTGTGACAGTGATTGGTTCTCATGTTGTTCCGATTCACTTACGTGGGGTAAGGGCAGGATAGTAACAACAATGATGGCCATTAAATAGGAAAACAATTTCAACAAATTAAGCGTTAATTAAGGAATCGATCTCAGAAACCGCATCAACAATCCACATATATTTCCTAACCATATCGCATCACAAACTCGCAATACTATCAGGTGCTGTTAGGTTATCACAGTAGTCTTTGTTTTTCCGTGTATCTCTGTGTATAGAAATAATAATAGAAATAAAAAAAATAAGATCAAACCTTTAAAATTATTATTATAATATGAATATAAGTTGTGTAGGAAGGCGTTAACGAGTCACAAACTCCCCCTTCGCAACGTTTGCCAACGACTGACGATAAAACGGTTGTTCAGGGGAATATTCTGTTGGAATGCCTTCACTTGATTAATGCGTGTTTGTTTTCTTTCCCCCTGCGAGCAGGCTTTAGTTTGTATTTCTCCTGTGTTATATTTATGTTTTATAGACCCTTGAATTCGATCGACCGATAGAAAGGGAAAGATCTAAGAAGTCTTAATGTATTTTAGTTTCTGTTTTCTTATTTATAACGTACAATTCTCTTTCTGTTTTCTTATTAGACCGTTTTGGGTTTTTTTTTAATTATAATGTAGGAAATAATTCGGATAGTGTAAACAAAACAGCTAGACATTAATACAATATATTGAATGATCAATCATGAACGGTGGTTTACAGGACACTATTGGTTTAAAAGATACTAAATAGAATATAACGATGGTCGTAAGAATCAATTAAATTATTCTTCCCAATCAACATAAACCATCACAATGCCGGATAAATTATTTGTAAGTGTTTTAATATTAACAACCGCATCTCACATCAAGTTTAAAATGTTAAATCGTCATAAAATATAGATTTGAACCAATTCAATCTTTAAAAATAAACATAATAAGAATCACTATAAGATGGTACTCTCCACTCCATTATAAGGAATCTATAAACTAATATCGCTCCTTTACGCTAATAGTTCGTATAGTGCAGTAATCGCAACAATATACTTTAGGAGGCAGACAGACACTGTGGCGCCCGCCAGACAGGCGCCACGGGAAGCGGCCAAAAGTTATTGATAACTACGAGGGACCCGATTGTCTCCCGCAGTTGTCTTGGCGACGGTAAAGATTTGTGTAAATTTGAAGATTAATCAATGTTTTACACTCTCAATTTCGAGCTGAACTCAATGTTTCGCTGCTAACATAGATATGTTAAGTAGTTTTACGCTTTTGCATAGATGAAACATTAATTAGGTAAAATTTTCTGTACATATCTCAATATCGGGAGCACATTTGTTTCGTAAAGGCTAGCTTTATGACGGGTTCGTCGTTATAATTGACCGCTTTTTTATCTTCGGGCTGAAAGCACTTTGGTTATATATTTTTTGAGAAAGTGGCAAGTTAGCTGATGTTAAAATACCGTTAATAGTTACCTGAAATACTGGAGGAGCTGCAGATGCGTTGCTAATTATGAAGAAGTGAGCCCCGGTTATCTCACTAACCGAATGAAACTAAGAATTATACTTCCATCTGACGCCGACCTCCATCTCAATTTCGGAGACAAGGTACATTTCAATAAACTCAACACTTTTCGGAGGCATGGTGTGAAATATTCCAGCTTTTATTTTAGAAGTGAATTTACTTTCTCAAAACATATGTTTATTTGAATTAATGTGTACCTCTGTCTGTACATTTCTTTTATTAACCGACTTCATAAAGAAGGAGGTTATCAATTCGGGTGTTTATATTTTTTTTATGTGTTTTCGAACATAACTTCGTAATATATAGACGGATTTGCAAAATTATTTTTTTGTTCGAAAGGGTTTCATTCCGAAATGGTAACCATATATAATATCACATAGATCTGATGATGATTTTCGGAGATAGCAACGGAACTCTTCAAAATATGACAGGAAATCGATTGCTGCTATCGTAAAATATGCTTTGCATGTAACCTTGTAATAGTTACGTACGCCATTTTATTTTAATTCGGTTCTTTTTTTTTTTTTTAATTTCTTGTTTTACTTTTACCATCGATTATGAGAGATGTCACCTCTGCTATTGAAATTTAAATTCAAAAATGTTAATCTTTCATCGGCGTGATAATCAAAAGCTTAGTGCATCTGGGCGCAATTCCTGAAGTCTCGGGTTCGCTTCCCGCGGCGGCAAAGAACTTTTCACCCATTTTTATACAATTTTTATTGGTTGATATTTTTCAGTATTACCACTTGTGACGTTCGCCACTAAAACAAAGATGGCAATATGTGTAATTAATGCTCGTATAACTATTTTCATGCAAACAAAAAACTACTATACAAATATTACGATAAAGATATTAGGCGACTGTTGCTTTTCTGTGCTTTTACGAATAATGAAAAGTGAAGAAAAAGGAAATTAAAACCTGTTAACAATGATTTACCGCCGTTGGTAACTCGAAAACATAATTAGCCAAATTTAAACCCGAAGAATTTCAAGATGGTAATTTATGTAATGTTTTAAAGAAAACATATAATAACAACGAAATGAATGGTTCATTAAATATGAACTTTACCCCAGCGAAAAAGAAAGTATTGTGAAAAATACATTTGCGAAATGCATAAATCTAAACTGGCTTCGAACAACTCCAGTCGAATACAGGTCTTAAATCAACACGATACGGTTGCAAACTGTGTGGCGGTAACTTGGGTCGTTAAAAGTATACGGAGCCAAACAGGAAGCGAACAGCGGTTGGTAGACAAAGCTCGTTGCTTAACGGATGTGGGTGTATCTGAAAGTTGCGTTTGCAGTTAATGTAGCGAGAGCTAATGCCGACTATGATTTTTTGTTGGAATTTTCTTAATTAAAACACCGGTAGTGGTCTAATAGTATCTTGTATCTTGTATTAACTGATGTTTTTGCTTTCAGTCCCGAGACTATTAAAGCTTCATCTGACGCAGAACCGGTGGGCTAGCCAGAACCCACGGGTTTGGGCCCTCCGCTGTGGGTAGGGCCGCGCATGTGCTCATGCGTGCGTTTAACTACGACATGTCATTTAAGGGCCATCGAAGTTGCGGTGCGGACCGAGACCCCAATGGCCGTCGACTGTGCTAATCGGTGGCTGGGGGCGGTGAGAACCGCCCTGGAACGCGGGTGTACCTTGTGTACGCGTTAGAGGTCTAATAGTGCGATGGTTGCATCACAATGTTCGACCCAGGCGTCGAATGACTGTTCTTTATCTATTACTAGCTGCTGCCCGCGACAACGTCTGCGTAGAATAGGCTGAAGGCGTAACATTCAGCCAGAAAGACAGATGTACATAAATTACATATGCCTGTGTGTTATTCTGATTTATAAGCTATATTATTGTAAAGTTTCATTAAAATGCATTCAGTATAACAAACATCCACCCATACATACAAACTTTCGCCTTTATAATATTAGTAAGGATTATATTTAAAGAGAGATAAATACCAATGTCACCTTTGCCTGGTGTAAAACGTCACCTCTTTCCACCTTTTGAATTGTTTCAGAGAAATACTACTCTCTGTATAGGTAAGCTTAATGTGCACTTCATTACAGTGTCTAACGCTTTTAATGTGAAAAATTGTCAAGTGGGCTGGCGGTTCACCCGATGCTGTGATTACCGTGGGGTCATTGATGTGTCTTTAAAAAAATAGGCTCCGGTAGGCTTCACTTATCAGCTGAACACGAAAGTGTAATACTACCACTTCCCGCTGGTCTTCTGTGAAGCCGTGGTACTTTTTGATCCTACCCATTTGTGCAACAGTAGAGGCTACCGCGCCCTTCCCGTGGTCCTACCACATATAAACCTCTTACATAAACTTGAGAAATTATTTTTATATTATAGGTGGAATTGAAATGGTTTCGTTTTTACTTACTCAGCGCTAGGCAGGATGGGAGAGGGACATATACAGGCTATTACTTTACTTATGTTAATGTATAATTTATATGTTTAATACTTACTTTGCAGTCCATTTTAATCTAGAGTAAGATTGGGATTAATCCATGTAGATTTTAATTAATATTAATTGCATATACGTGTATTATAATTGATGTATGTACACAATTAACTACCATCTGTAACCAATTTCCAGTCCCAGGTCTGCTGGAAGAAATTTCTTATTAAATAAGCATGGCCTTTGTACAAATTCTTTCATCTATTTACATCTCTGCCATAATCTGTGTACATAATTTATAAAAAAAATAAATAAAAATAATGTTTTAAAGTATTTTTTGAATATTAGGTTCCTTCTTTTACATATTCCCCTTCCGCATTAATCTTATGCAACAGTGCGTTCTGAAACTATTTCATGAGTGAATTTCTCTTATGATATACATTCAAGAGAAATTCACTTATTTATAGTTAAACAAGAACAAAGACAAGTTTTAAATAATATGTTTTTGTTGTATTTAATTACTGGTAACGAATGAAAACAGAAATTTAATATTGTTGATCAAAATGATGTTATCAAAAAAAATCATTATAGCTTTTCAAGTCCCTTAGCCCATCCGGATAAGCATGGATAGAAAATAATATCCACTTTTTATATAATTTATTAAACATTGAAACATCGAGGCCTTTTTACGGGTTGCCGACCTTCCACCTAACGACACAATGTTTTATAATCGTCAGAGAAAACAGTTTAATTTAGCCACACGTCGTGAATTAATTTTATTTTATATCTTTTCAGACACACCGCGACCAATGCGGGACCCTAAGTGACCAGAAGTATCACAATGCTTCAATGCTCCGTTTTCGTACTTACGCTGTTATGTCTCTCAGTAAAAGGTACTAATACCAAGTATTCCTTTATTGTAATAACTCATATTAAACATGTTTGGGTTCTATTTCTTGTATGCATCACGGCCAATGAAATATTTATGAATTGATTTGAAAATTTACTAATATTTGTTTCATTCAATTACATTTTTCAGATATAACAGGTAGTTGGGAGGAATGGTGGACCTACGATGGAATATCAGGTTAGAAATATAAACATTTCAAATCAACATCAAAGATTTCATTTGATTTGATTTAAACATTTATGCAAATAAATCAATAGGCTCACATCAACTTTGGAACTTAATGATGATAGTTACACCTTAGTTAATGTAAATATCAGCTAAGTGTAAGAATATGTATCTATAATTCGTAAGGACTTATTGAGGATTTATAAAGTCGTATAAAAATGAAGGACAAGAGATATTTCTAAAATGCCATATTTCTAAACCGCTAGTATACAATTTTTAACCGACTTCAAAAAGGAGGAGGTTCTATGTTCGACTGTATGTATTTTTTTAACCTCTGTAGAAATTGGAATGATGGACTAAAAAATGTTAATATTATTACAGGTAAATATGTGTGGCGTAACTGCATAAATACTAAATACTATACATAATACATGTACTTATTTACTTATTACTTATTTATAGTATGATCTAGCGAAATATTCTCATCTCCCAAGTATTTGTCTAATCTTAAAACTCTTAAGTTCTGTCAATCAAGAAGGGTACAACATAGCGAGAGCTTCGTTTATTGTCCCCTTAGTCGCCTATCTTAAGCAGGGAACATCTCAGAAATTATCCAGAAGCGCTTTTTATCCCTCACTCGAAACTGGGACGTACGCTACATATCCGGGTAATGACACCCGGGTAATGACCGCAGATACTATCTTAATGACAGCGCGCGCTCACTTGTGTCATTACATTGAATAGTCAGTATACGACAGGGTCGACCGTACTTAGCTATCTATTTTCGGTATTCTAAATTCCGTTACATTAGGGAATCATGTCGATTAGAATATGCTTAATGTACTCGACATATATTAAATAAAATTCCTTAAAAGCACTTCTAGTGAAATTTCAGCTAGCTGATAAATGATAATCGGATGTTTTCGATGGTTCAAAATAATAGAGGGTGATATTAAAACAATATTACTGCAAAATTTTTAATTTTAGTGTTAGTCTCCGCACTTAATATGAAACTAAAATGTGTAGATAATACTGTCTCAAAATTATTCGAATAAATTGAAAAACAATAACTTTGAATAATACTGTTTTTGTTCACCTTTGTAATAATTTGTTATCCGTGCCTACCAAAGTTCACAAAGTTGAACATGATCTCCTCCTTTTACATTCTCGTTACATTCTTCTTTCTCCTGCCCTTATCCCACACCATGTGGGGTCGGCATAAAATTTTCATCATTTATTTTCGGAACCATGTTATTTAGCGTAAGGCGAACAAACACATATACGCACAAATTATTATACGAGTAACTTCTTCCGTTTTTATCATTATATTAGATGTTTCTATTTCATCCACATACCGAACGTGATCAGACCTATATACTATTCATAAAACCTTTTGATCGAAGTACTTTAAAGCGTAACATCGTTAGGTACTGCGGCAACCGATACCCGTTCCAGCCTAACCGGACGTGATTACACCGTAATATAACATTACACGAACCAATGCACCGCGATGACGAAATTTCGCGGGGTCCCGAATTTCCATTGAAAGCCGCATTATGGAACTATTCTGGAGCACTGAAAGGCCCTTTATGTTTGAGTAACGTTATGTGTAATGAATTTTGATTCGTCATTGTGTCACATTAATCTGTTTAGGGGAGATTGACGTCAGTCGATGTACATGCGTCTAACATACATAAAACTTGGGATTCCGGGACAAGGTTATGCCCTCTTAACTATTTATTACGGATCAGTTAAGTTATCTGCCTCTTTAATTTCATCGGATTAACGTGATAACTACATGTTAGTACTGTCTAATTTATTCTATCTATCTAGTTATTCATAAAGAAGCCATAATTATCTATTAACAAACTGAAGAATTTCGTGATAACAAATATTTAATATTAATATTAAACTTAATGTTATTGAAAATTTTATTATATTATTACTTACAAATGCTTACAAAAAAACCGTAAATTATACCAGAACGATTTAATGCTATGTTAGTTAAATAATAAATAAGACGTATTTATAGCGTTATTTAGTTATTATGACGGAAATTTAAATTAGATTCTAAGTTAATTTCGATACATTTAAATATATTGTAATACATAAAAATATTATATTTATGAGCACAAAAATATTATTTGTATTTGCATTTGTCTGAGGCAGCTAGTATACAGTAAAATATAACGGTAATTATAACAAACATATAAATGTATAATTATTAGGGGGGGGACATTCATTTGTTTTCTCGTCTGGTTGGGTTTATAAATAATAAATAAAAATAAAGATATAGATATATATTGCATATATGAAATAAATATTATGGATAAAAATAAACATATATATATATGTATATATATATATATAAATAAATATTTTATATAATACATATATAAATAGGACCCAACCAGACGGAAGCCCTCGGCAGGGGAGACCAAACGGCCGAGGGTTAGGGCGAAAGGGAGAGAAACCGGCGGACGATGCGGGCGGTATCGAGGAGCACCGCCTTCTGCATTTGAGCCTGGAGCGATCCGTCCCGGAGTCCCAGTCGCCTCAGATGTTTAGAGAGGCTGACTGGGATCAACCCATTCGCAGACACGACTATCGGGATAATTTCGGTCGGCACACCACCCCACATGTCGGTCACCTCGTGAGCCAGGTCCAGATACTTCGTCTTCTTATCTGTTTCGGCTTTCACGAGGTTCTCGTCATATGGAATGGTAATGTCGACCAAAAATACCCGCGACTGTGCCCGGTCCATCAACACGATATCAGGTTTGTTCGCGACAATTGTCTTGTCTGTGATGATGGACCGGTCCCAATAGAGCCTGGCGCGGTCATTTTCGAGCACGGCCTCCGGAGAGTACTTATAATACGGCAGTTTCCGTTCCACGAGGCCGTATTTCAGAGCGAGCTCCTGGTGTAGGATTCTGGCTACTAGGTTGTGTCTATGCAGATACTCAGAGTTAGAAAGCATGGAACAACCGGAGATAACATGCCGAAGCGACTCCCCGGGATGGCGACAAGCTCGACAGATGTCGACGGTGCCATCCTTTAGGATGTATCTCCTATAGTTGTTCGTCTTAATAACCTGATCCTGTATCGCACAGACAAAACCTTCGGTTTCCCCAAAGAGGTCACCGAAACGTAGCCAGTACAGGGAGGCAACAGTATCTACGAAAGGCTCGTGTAGAGCCTTGTAGAACCTCCCGTGGAGCTCTTTCTCCTTCCACACAGCCTCTCGGTCGGAAACGCTCAGTACTCCCGGGTCCTGCCATTGCTCGTTGGCTAAGGATAGAGGGGTAAGTCCTTTATCACAACTAATGACGTCCGTGTAGATTGACTCATCCGATCTCGCCAGAAAGTAGTTACGGAGGCTGCACACCTCGCGATTGTGCATGGTGAGGGCGCTTAAAAAGCCCCTCCCGCCATGCTTCCGCGGAAGGTACAGCCTCATCACTGACGATCTCGGATGATGCATTCTGTGGGACGTCATAGTTGTGCGGACTTTTCGGTCCAGGGCGTTGAGCTCAGTTTGAGTCCACCTGAGTATGCCAAAGGTATACATGAGGACTGGCATGACCCAGCCGTTAAAAGCACGTGCCTTGTTCCCGCCTGACAAATGGCTATTAAACACCTTTGTCAGGCGTGCAAAAAACACTGACTGTTTCATGCCAGCCTCATCGATACACATATTTTGTGACATACCCAGGTATCGGTATGTTTCAGCCTCAGAGAGGGTCCTTATGTTAACGGGCATAGATAAGTCTATGCCCGCCGTATTAGTGACCTTACCCCTTTCGACATGAAGGACCGCACACTTATCCGTCCCGAGCTCCATTTTGATAGAATTGCTGAAATCACAAGTGACTTTAAGCAATTCCATCAAATGGGAGCGATTGGAGGCGAATAACTTGAGGTCATCCATGTAGAAAAGGTGGGTCACTTTTGTCCCTCCTCTCCGAAGCTGAAATCCTCCCCCCGAGCCCTCCAGTAATACGCTGAGAGGATTCAGGGAGAGGCAAAACCATATTGGACTCAAACAGTCGCCCTGGAAAATACCCCGTCGTATCCTTATCCGGTATTCCGCAGCCGTCATCCGCTCGCCTAGATGACAAAGGATCGTACTCCATTGCCCCATACAGTGCTCGAGGAAGTCTCTTACTGTACAGTCTACTTTGTACAGTTCGAGGACCCTCTTTAGCCATGTATGGGGCACCGAGTCGAATGCCTTTTTGTAGTCTATCCAGGCGGCGGAGAGGTTCCGACGGTTGCGTTTAACCATTTTACCAATGACCGCGTCGATGAGAAGCGGTTCCTTGGTTCCACGACCGCCGCCCCGACATCCATTCTGAGTACGAGACATAATCCGATTCACATTAATATGCCGGGTGATTCTCATACTCAGAATAGATGTCAGTGTCTTATAGATGGTAGGTAGACACGTAATGGGGCGGTACTTACTCGGGTCTGTGGTAACCTGATCTTTAGGAACCAAATGAGTGACCCCAGTAGTAAAGAGGCTCGGGAGCGACCTCTGATCGAGAGCCTCTTGGAACTGCCGGGCGAGCACAGCGTGACACACCACGAACCCCTTCAGCCAGTAGTGATGCAGCCCGTCGAGTCCCGGACTTTTCCAGTTCGGGGCTCTACGGACTGCCTCGGATACGTCGTCGGGTGTTATGACGACGGGGTCCATGGGTGTAATGTCTACACATTGGCTCGCCACGACTTGTGTCCAAGGGCCCTCACTGTGGTCTACGGGCTCTGACCACAGGCTGCGCCAGAAGGCGACAGTGTCTGCCTGGTCCGGTCCTTGGCCCGTTCCACAACTCATTGGTCGCTCCAAAGATTTGTAGAGCCTCTTTTGGTCACTCTGGAAGAGGCGATTCTGGCTAAACCGCGCCGTCCTCTCGGAATATCTCCGAATCCGCTTCCCCCCCCAAGCAGCGATCCTCTGCTTCAGGTCATCTATGCGCTCCGTTAGTTTTTGCGTAATGTCCGGCTGGGACAAGTTTATGTTGGTCCCAGCGAACGCCATCCTAACGGTGCGCACAATTCTGGGCCTATTATTGCCCGACCTGAAGCTTATCAGCCTACCGATGATGGCCCTTACCTTTGCGATACGGTCCTCAATTCTTCTTCTCCATGCTGGGATAGTGCTACCTGGTCTGGTAGCACGTCCAGCCTTGGGAAGTTTGGCGCCAACGATTCGGCATACTGCCAGTGCAGCGCCAAAGAGAATTGAGTCCGTATCGCAAAGATCCCGGCTAGCTTCCAAATAGGTTGCCAGCATCGGGTTAAGAGACCTCACGACAGACCGACTCCGCTTACTTAGGGGTATGCGGGGGAGACGTGGTCGATTCTCGAGAGGCGTTTCGCGCACCTCCAGAATTGCCTCCTCCAATATGCTTCCCATCTGCTCTATATCTTGGGCGACTATTCCATCATCGCACGAATCTACAGGAGCCGGGGGGTTAACCGCGGCCTCCGCATCTGCTTGTAACCCTGCAGGGTCCGCAGCTTGCGGGGCCGTATCCCCAGCCACTACATTCTCATCCGATGAGGGAACAGCCTCACGACGTAGTCGTTCGAGCTCGGTATCATCAAATATTTTTGAGCGCATGATGTACCGAACTCGGTCTGCCAGGTTTTGCTCGGTATTATTAAACTACTCATATATAAATCTAATATCTTAATGGCATAAACATATTATTGTATTATCTTCTGACGTCACAAACTTCATTTAGTAACAATTCATAAAAGTATACTTTCGTTTTTACTGCACAAGCTTTTCTTAACTTAGAGAAGATTTGAGAGAGCGTGTGTAAAAGGCTCATTGAGAATGCAATTTAACCAAATATTTGCCATTTCGCCTGTAGGTCCGGGATTCTGGGGATTGATCAACCCCCAATGGAGCATGTGCAACAAGGGGCGACGTCAGAGTCCAGTGAATGTTGAACCCGAGAAACTACTGTTTGATCCCTGGTTGAGGGACATACAGTTCGACAAACATAAGGTAACTAAAGTCTTATACGGTAGGGCTACGCAACAGCCTCGGCTGTTGCACGGATGGGCAGGCTCGTCCGGGTAAGTACCACGACCTCACAGAAGACCGGCGTAAAGTAAAAGTATAATACTTTCGCGTTTCGTCTGGTGAGTGAGGTAGCAGGAGCCTAATTTTCAAAAGGTTGGTAAGTATCTGGAACCTTTGGGTGTAGCAGATGTCACTTAACATCAGGTAAACCGTCTGCTTGCTTGGCAACTTTTCACATGAAAAAAAAAAAACATAAAATATCAAACTTTTTACCAGGAAGCAATTTTTTCCATGAAGATTTCCCTCGATACCCCTCAAAAGTGTTGCATAAACTGCTACAAAGAAGGTACATAGTGTAGATACATTTAAAAAAACATCGACCTTACTGAAGGATCATTAGTGATATTAACACCTAAAATTTTGCGATCCTAAGCTATGCTAAGCGATGCTAAGATCCGAACTCCAGTTAAACGTGTCCCGCCCCAAAAATCGTATTCAGCCATTAAAACTAGCCGCTTACACGCAATCACGCGCGCATCACTAATTCATTGTGCAGAAGAATCATTACGGGCATATGCATATCGAAAACGCGGATGCGGCGCGAGACTTATTAAAATTTAAAATTTCACACGCGAACCGTTAACGGGGCGTTGGAAATCTGCGTGAGCCGGCGCGGCGGGATGGACGAATTAACATTGCAGTGTGCACGCCGCCATAATCTCCCCGCTAAAACATGTTAAGCCAGCTGCGATAGGCCCTGGCTTTGCGTAGCGTGATTTTCAACCGTCGATAGAAATGCGCGGGAAACATCAAATCGACGCAGTCTAGCTGTTAGGTTTTTTTTTAATCACACGAAATGAATGTTCTTTTTTATAACCGCCGCGTAAAAAATGTTTTTGGAACAGTTTATTCAAAATTTAAGCTTTTCCGAGGGTTTTTGCCCGACTATTATATTACCCAACTTTTTTTTTACATTGATCTATTATTGTTCACTTAACATAACATTTACTTATACATCGACGATGATGAAGACGGTATATTTATCAGTTATAAGAAACAAAGTTTGATTTTAAGTTTACTAACCGCTATCGCCTAATTGACGGTTACGGATTACCATAGTTGTATACAATCCTGTTTTTGTTTACCGATATGCCATCTCGAGTTATTCCTTAATTCGGGATGACATTTTTTCTGGGTCCTAATCGATACTCAACTGGGCCTTCTATCCCCAGTAGCCGGCAAACCGAATGAATATTCCAAGTGGTGCCACGGTACCCATGCGTAATTATTCATTTAGACTGAATTACAGCTCGGCAGTGCCATGCTAATGTATGCGGAGTGCGATACGTACTCTATCTTGACGTTTTTGCGACACTCGTATATTGCAGGTCCCGCATTAGCGCTTGGATAGGCGCTTTAGTTTTTGCCTCACACGACGCTCAAACAGGACCTTTGCAATTCTAATTACCCCGCCAAATTGACCGTGTAACATTTAACGTCGTGACCCCGAAAGATAAGGGCCGTGTTTAAAACTACGGTGTTTTAAATGAACTAACAAATTAAAATTGGAGATTTTTTATGAGATAAGGCTAAATTATAAAAATTTTTGCATACATATTTATTTTTTATTTACAAAATTATTAATTTTTTCTTTATTTAATAAATGCACTAGTCAATAATTAACCACTTCGAACATTTTGTACCTATTAACGGGCACGGCTTAGACTAACGTTAAGTGAAACACTATATAAAATCGATTTTTTCAATTATTAATAATATTATCCATTCATTTCAATACATTATATTAACCAATGTAATATATTGAAATTAATTGATACATAATAAAAATGATAATTATGTAATTTTTTTCCTTATTAAATAACATTGATGTTGTAAGTTAGAATTCCACTGGCATTTTTTCGTATATATCGACACAGTCATATCATTTTATTATTTGATTGATATTCTTGCAAGGGCAAACATTGTAATGTACTTAATTGTTTAATACAAGAATAAATATTTCTGTCATCAAGTAAGACTTCATAGTAGACTGTATCATTTACCCGCTGTGGTGCTTCTAACCATGACAGGAAATATCTTTGTCCCGTCACTCAAAGCACCAAAGGGGGCTGAGAAATGTGCTGAGAGTTAAGCTCTTCAGTGCATCGCTGGTTCAAAGTGGCAACTTCAGCTCGTAAAAGCGACCAACTTAAATAAATATAAATGGACGATGCGATACGGAAATTTCACGGATGTCCATAACGATTACACTATATTGCGATGGCTTTCGCTCGCGTGTCAACCGATAATACGTCATCTCCACTCAAAGCACGCTTAGAGCGCAGGCCGTAATCAAGGTGGAGCCATTGATTGATAGGATCGCCACCCCGCTGGGGAACTACGCGTTTCGCACCCGGACTCATTCGACGTAACACGCCTTAATCAATTTGAGCCGCCGTTGAAAATAGCCTCAAAATCATTACCATGTAACACGAACCTCCCGTTTTGATTCCTTCTGTTAGCTCAGAAAAAAATACTGATTAAATTAGATTTTTATCGGTAATTTTTATTTTCAATAGAGATATTCAGTCAAAGTTCGTTTAATCTTGAGCCAGATTTTAAATTTTTTAACAGGACGCCCTTTAATCGGGGACTTTATTCAACGATGTTTAATAACAAACCACACCTGGACTAGATCCGTGTACTCTCTAAATAACCTGTCTGGAGTAGACAGGGTTATGAACGGTCCTTACCTACTAAAATCCTTGGTGACCCTCAGTAGATTCTCCCAAAGAACCGGTGCCCCTTTGTATTTCGCGTTAATGAGCATGCTTCGGGGAAGGTTACCTTCAACACAAATCACTTCGTTCTGCTACATTTATGAGGTTTACCAAAACGGAGGACTAAACCACATCCCGGTGTTTCATGAACCCCGTGTTACGTCTCCTTTTAAGAAAGGCACGTGATATCATGGCGCTATTCTATTCTCTATGAACTTAGTTGGTGTTCTCTGATAGAAATAGTTCAATTTTCGATACCATGATTCTTTATTCCTAGTCTCTATTAACAAAATCGTTGCTGCGAAGTAAATGATAGCTTGGCTCCTAACTTCTAGATTGATGGTAGTAACATTACTATGCGGTATTAACTAAGCAATGTTAAGACATAAAGGTCACTGTTAATATAATTAGAGAACATCGTCTGTCTAGCTTGGCATACGATATAAAATTTAAATACCATTAAATTGTATTAAAATTATTTATTATAGCAAAAAAATATTTTATTACATGATTGTTAATAGGTGAGCGGCGTCCTCCAGAACACTGGGCAATCATTGGTCTTCAGAGTGGACAAGGACTCTAAACACCAAGTGAACATAAGCGGAGGACCACTTTCGTATCGATACCAATTCGAAGAGATCTACTTTCACTATGGCCTGGAAGATCATCGGGGGTCAGAGCACCAGATCGACCACCACACATTTCCAGGGGAGGTGAGTTGAACTGAGTCTACAAAGATGGTCACAATCACCAGTACTAGTCACCGGTGATTGTGACTATCTTTACCACGCCATATACATAAATATTACCTTTGACATGCGTTAATGATAGAGAAATAGGTAAAAAAGTACCGTAGGCGCTAAAGAATATTGCTTGATTGTTGCTTTAAATAACATTATTTGTACTAGAGCATTATTGCAGGTATTAACATATATGTCGATAGAGGACTTCGTTGCGAGACAGTTCATATTCAAATGTTATTTAATATTAATGAAATATCGAACAGTTGACTAAGTTTCTAAATCTATAGTACAACAGAATAAGTGATTTTGAACGAGAATTTATTGACTCAGAGAGATTGTTGGGATATTGTCAAATTGGATATAAAATTTTTCTTTTCCTTCCGCATCGACCTTTTAACACCCGATAAAAGTTGACGGTCACAACTTGCCCCGCCAAATCTTCAATATCTCGAAATAAACGAACTGGAATATACAACAAATACTCGAACTTCCGATTTAATTGGAATATTTATGAGATTCTCATTTGGAACGAATACTACGGCTATTCATTACACCTAACCACAATAATCTCAACTATGCGGATAGTCTGACCGCTCCCACTAACTATGCGCCCTCGTTCCGCCGGCACTTATCGCTGATAAAATCTTCCATTTAGAATGTATTTTAAATTTATTATGCATTCAACACCCCGCAAGGTTTTATATTCTTAGTTGTATGTTGAAGTTCGTGGTTTCAGCGAACTTTAATTTGAAATGATCGTTTTACGTGTTGTAGAATTTTCCTCTGTGTTGTTGATATATTTTCGCGTATAAATTTCACTTTATCAGACTTCCAGAAGAAATAAATCCAAAGAAAAATTTTTGTGCGCATCCAAAAATTGAACACATTGCCATAGCCTCTAGCAAAGACCACGTAACATATTGATTAAACTTAGTGTAAAGGTGATGTTTTAGATGCAGGTTTATTATTTGAGTTGTTTACTTTTTGAACATAGTTTAAAAATAGCTTTTATATTTAAATGCAATAATTTTTATAGATAATAATTAGTTAAAATTCTCAAAGATATCTGTTTCTTATCTTCTTTATTATAGAGTTCCGTTCGTCGTAGTGTTTCGATCATAGAGACAAAGGGTTTTATTCTAAATTAACACCTTATGGTTATTTTTATTATCGCTAATGTTTGCGTTGGTCCCGAGAGAAATTAAATTCCCAACTTAAGCCGTTTTAAACTCTTCCGCCTGTTTGGGTATGATTGTGAGATTATTTCAACGTTGAAACAGACTTGTAATCAATTAATGGCCTCTTTAAATGTGATTTATTGACGTTCACAAACTTAGTTTTATGGCTACATCATGTTTTTGCTAAATTTTGGTGTTCTTGTCACACACTTAATACTACAAATGAACTGCAAATAAATTTGACTCGAAAAGCATTTTAACTATTTTAGTTGTCGAAAATTGCCTACTTTTGTTTTGCATTTTAAATAGTTGGCGTCACCTACTTAGCAACATTACAGTATTCTGATTTGAGACGACACTCTCGAAACAAATTTTACAGTTTTTCTTAAAAAAAACATTGCCCTTACTTTGGGATAACATTATCCTGTGTTGTAAGGACGTTTTACAAACATAAACTTCACGCGGACAAACACCCAGATGCGGAACAATATGTGGGTCGCACAGATAGTTGTCCCGTGTGGGAATCGAACCCACGACCACCGACGCCGAAGCCGACACCTTGGCGGCTGCGCCACAGAGTCATCGATAATACTGTATCTTGTATCTTGTATTAAGTGATGTTTTTGCTTTCAGTCCCGAGACTATTAAAGCTTCATCGGACGCAGAACCGGTGGGCTAGCCATAACCCACGGGTTTGGACCCTCCGCTATGGGTAGGGTCGCGCATGTGCTCATGCGTGCGTTTAACTACTATGGTATGTCATCTAAGGGCCGTCGAGGTCGCCGGTTCGGACCGAGACCCCGACGGCCGTCGACTGTGCATTTAGCTAATCGGTGGCTGGGAGCGGTGAAAACCGCCCCAGAACGCGGGTGTACCTTGTGTACGCGTTGTGTGGGTCTCGCCGTGCTCGGAGGCGAGGGCGAACTGGTGTGATTGTTTTTACACTAACTGTGGGTGTAGTGTTATCCGGCGGGACCCCCGGCGGTGGGTCCATCGTATCTAAGTCCTCTTCGTCGACCGGATCGATGAGAAAGTTTCGCGGGCGACGCTTGTTTACGTTCGCGTTAGTGTCCGGTTGGTAGTTTACTGCGTTTACCACCAGAGGGTTGGGATGATGCTGGACTCTATCGAAGAACCGTTTTGTCAAATCTTTAAAATGTGCGCGAATCGTCGGGAGTCTGCAATCGCTGTGCAGGTCGACGTTGCGCTGATACCACTGCGCACCGGTTGCGCGGCGGATAAACTTATTTTGTACTATTTGCAGCTTGTACAAGCGAGTAGGGTGCGTATGGGCTAAGATCATGCATGCATAGGACATAATAGGTCGTACGCAGGTCTTATATAATAATAATTTGTGCCTTAAGGGCATTTTACTTTTAGCGTTAGTTAAATTGTGTAGCCGGCCGGAGACGAACGCGGCTCTATTACGAACGTTATTAATGTGCGTAGTAAATGACATACGCGAGTCGAAAGTGACTCCTAAGTATTTGACCTTTTCCTCCCAGGGGAGCGGTTGGCCATAAAGGGATATTTGCCCCAACTTTCTGCATTGGCGAGGCCCATTATAAAGATGTGACGGGTAGGTACTTCGTGTGAAGTGAATCGCCACACTCTTTTCGGGATTAATATCGATTCTCCATTTGCGGAACCAATCGCCGAGGCGGTCGGCAGCGCTTTGGAGTCGAGTCGTTAATTGACTGAGGTTGCGGTCTGAGTAAAAGAGCGCCGTGTCATCCGCGAAAAGCGCGAGATTGACGTGGGGTCTCTAGGTATGTCGCTCGTGTAGAGCGTAAATAGCAAGGGTGAGAGGCAGGAGCCTTGTGGTACGCTGGCCGTGAGGCGGCGGCTTGTGGAGAGGGTGCCCTCGATTCGATATCGAAAAGAGCGGTTCAACAAAAAGGCCCGGATGGTGTGTACAAGCCTATCTGGCACTTTGAGTGTGTACAGCTTATAAAGCAAGCCGTTGTGCCAGACTTTGTCGAATGCTTTTGCGACATCGAAGAAGAGAGCCCCTGTACTAATGTGTTTGGGGTGGTTAAGGCCTTTTAGGATGTGCTCCGTTAGGCGGTATAACTGATCGGGACAAGAGTGTCTAGCTCGAAAGCCGAATTGTTCCGTCGGCAGAAGGCCGTTGGAAAATACGTGCTCTTTGAGCCTGTTTAACAAGAGCCGCTAGTAGAGCTTCCCCAGGCAACTGAGGAGGCTGATGGGACGATAGCTAGAGGGCTGATTGGCTGGTTTATTCGGCTTGCGAATGCCGATAACCGTGGCTTGCTTCCAGTCGTCCGGAAAAGAGCAACTGGAGAGAAGGGTAACGATAACACTCCGACTAGTCACGCGAGAATACTTGATTCACTGTAAAATTTGTTTTGAGAGTGTTAGTTTTGCTAGTAAAATTTAGGATTATTTATATTTATTGGATTTCTACTCTGCACTAGGAGTTCCAATCCGTTTTTTTTTACATCATTTTCTAATTTTTATGCAATTAATCCATTAAACTCACATTTAAATTATAAATTATTTAACAATTGTTGGACCACGCAAAAACGTGAATAGTAGTACAATAACAATAGATGAGTTATTTTGTTATAAATTTGAAATTTTATATTTTTATTGAAATACAAATCAAAAATTATCTTTAAAATTTAATTAATTACGTTATTTTAACTTTAAACTTAAAACTGGAATATACTAACGTAGGCCTTCTAAGCCGAATTATTTAAATCGTTGTGAATAAAATATATACATTTAATATCCCATTTATGTAATTGATAAGACTAAATGACTATAACAACATTTTGTAGAGCAAATAATTTGGTTAATATTTATCTTATTTTACCAATAAATTCTTTTACTAGGAACACCGCGCTCCGCAGTGAGGAATTGTTAACCAATAATCAACTGATTGATGAGATCTCAAGTCCTTCTCTATTTAACATATAATGTTTTCATTATTCGGCCATTTTGATATAAAAACTTTGGAAATTTAATAGCACATCAGAGTATTTCATACAAAAATCGTCTATTTTAGCATTTATAAATTCTTACATTTAAACGGCTTTCAAACATGAAACTTTTACAAGTAAGTAGTTTTTGTATACACAAATTATTGATCTCCAGCTGTGTCCATATTACAACGACCCGTATCGTTCACATTGCTTTAGTCCATCGATGCTATCGCACACGCTTTACATCATACATTTAGATTAAGGAACGGAGCGATAACCTTATATTCTTTGTGTTTATATTTTATCGAAATTCCAAAAAATAATGCATTACAATATATTTATCCTCTGTTATGGTCATAAAATTAATTTATTAAGTTTAATCAGCACCATTTTATTTTATCTATTCATGGAAAAACTTACAGCCAATATATAATGATTAAAATGTAAATAAATAGAAAACAGACAGTCATTTAGAAGTTCTCGCAAATGTATCTACATTACGAGAGTAAAACTAGAGGTACGTAGTTAAGTAAAAGTAGGTACAAAAGTAAAAAAAGTTATCAATGAATTAAATGTAAAAAGCTAAATAACTTAATGAAATGAGTAGATAATGTTTTTGGGACAATAGCTTCTTGAGCTGAAAATCGTTGGTAGTCATTTGTACTTTATTGTCTACACTAAGCAGTATTTCATTAAACGATTTGCACGATCGTATCATGTTTCGTTGATATTGCATGCATAAATTTGTAAAAGTTATCCTACCTTAAAGCAATACCCAGTTAGCACATAACTTATATTAAATACATTCAGTAATTAAATAAAATTATTATAATGCTAGGTTTGTTGCTGATTGAAGCCTCTAAATGTTGTCGTTAGGACTAATTTAACAAGAATTTAGGGTGAAAAAGCTATTCAAATGTTTCCGATCTTTGTTATTTGTAACTTAAAGGTGATTTAAAAACTCACGATATATTTTCTTCTAACAGATCCAACTGTACGGTTTCAATAAGGAACTGTACCATAACATGTCAGAAGCGCAACATAAATCACAAGGAGTCGTCGGAATTTCCCTTATGGTTCAAGTAAGTTCAGATTTAACCCTTAAGTTGCCACCAGAAAAAAAGTTTAGATGCAGATTGTGTAACGAGATAATCGAGGCACCAACAAATTTTATAATTTAAATTGAATTTCTCCGCAGATTGGCGATCCAACGAATAAAGATCTGAGATTGATTACCAGCGCCTTCAATAATGTTCGATTCAGGGGTAAGACTTCGCTTTAATATTTCATCTTTAAGATATGGAAATTAACAAACAAAATACATTAAGATTAAACATTTTCAAACTGATGTCGAAGCTCTCTTACCTTCATAAAAAAATTCCTACCTCGGTCACTTCACTTTAACTGGGTATAATATACTATCATCAAACATGATTAATTAAAAACCCAAGTGTAACCATAATATTGTACAAATATAAGAATAACATTCACAATAGCAAATTACTGTGGTAGGGCCAAGCAACAGCTGGGTTGTTACACGAACGGGTAAGCTCGTCCGGGGAAGTACCACGGGATCACAGAAGACTGATGTGGACTGGAAGTATTGTAATTTCGCATCGTCTGGTGAGTGAGGTGACCTGGACTCGCTTATCGTGTTGTCCACGGACGGCGGAATTTACATAACATCGAGTGAAACGCCTGCTTCGACAAAAATGTACTTTTTACTTTTAGTATAACATCATCCTGTGTTGTAAGGACGTTTTACAAACATAAATCTCACGTGGATACCACACCCAGATACAAAACAACTATCAGTGGATCAAAATGGTTGTCCCGTATGGGGCATATCGATCTCACAACCCCCGATTCCGAAGCCAATACCTTGGCAACTGCGCCACATTACCTTTACATACCGACTTCCTCCCTTCATTCTTTATATATACTGATTAATAATATATTATATTATACTGATTAATATAATATAACCTAATATATACTGATAAATTCTCAATAATTCTTCCTTAGGGAGCTCTTTCCCCATTAAACATTTGCCGCTGAGCTCGCTGTTGCCAGACACTCAGCAGTACCTCACCTACGAAGGTTCAACAACTCATCCTGGATGCTGGGAAACCGCCGTCTGGATCATTTTCAACAAACCAATTTACATCTCCAAACAGGAGGTAATGAAGAGTATTTTATCGAAAAACTATAAAAACCTAGCCCTTACCAATATTTCCAGTATAACAAGTAAAAGTTAAGGCTAAATATTTTTTAATGTCGTTCGTTATGGTGATTTAAGGGGGAGGCCTTTGTTCAACAGTCCGTCTTGCGGCTAATGATGATGATGATTTTTTGAATACCTCAGATAAAAAAGAGACAGAAGGAGAAAGAAAATGTATTGCTTCCTTAGTAGTCATTTAGAATGTCTGATGGTGGCGTTATAATCTTTTCCTTTGAACAGCATGGAAACAGTTTAAATTTTTATGGTGCCAATCTCTCCACTTAAGATGAAACAGTGGTTAAACCGTCTGGGCGCGAATCCGGAAGACGTGGGTTCGATTCCCGCAACGGTGAAAAACTTTTCCTCATTGTTTCCGCAAATTATAATGGAAACAGTTAATAGGTATTGACCATTTTTACAATTTCAGTCAACTCTAAGCAGTCGAGCAAACTACATCATCAAATATACATATTTCTTAATAATCCTCATACAGATGTACGCTATCCGTCGGCTGATGCAGGGCTCGCAAATATCTCCAAAGGCCCCGCTGGGTAATAACGCGAGGCCCGTGCAACCCCTACACCACCGTACCGTCAGGACCAATATCAACTTCAACAGACAAGGAGTTCCGGTCAGTATAAACTATTTCGTTTCATATTACGAATAAATTTAAGAAATAGTCTTTTTTTGTGTGACAAAGTGGCAAACGAGCTGGCGGTTCACCTGATGCTAAGTGATAACCGCCGCCCATGGACAGTTGCAACACCCGTAGTGTTGCAGATTGCCAGCTTTTAATAAAGTGACCCGGTTACCTCACCCACCAGACGACACGCATAAGTGTCACTTCACACTTCTGCTTTATGCCGGTCTTCTGTGAGGTCGTGGTACTAAACCGGACGGACCTGCCCATTCGTGCAACAGCGAACACTATTGCGTGGCCCTACCACAAAATCTGTATATTATCGTCATAGCTGCTTCTGTACAGAGGGTGGGAGAATTTCAAGCGCTATTGCATCAGGCGTCAATCGATCAGAGTTGAGTAAAATTAATGCTTTGTATGTGACGTACACATGTTTTGCGTAGCGTTGATAGGTTACTAGTATAGATAATAACGAGCGTTTAGTTATCCGATGGATTGCGTTGTCAAAATACATATTCACGTGTTAGCTGTGAACCGATTTCGGTGAATGATATCATGTGTGTAATTATCAATCTGCGTACAAGCGTGTACGTTTAATTTATCGATACATTAGTCCAAGTTCTAATTCCAGCTGAGGATATGTATATTGGTTATTTAATTTTTATTGTATTAATTGAAATTTTTAATATAGAGAGAGAGGGAGAGAGGATATATATTTATTTATTTTTACTTGATAGAGCTGTGCTGTTAGTGATGACTCCGTGGCATTCTAAGTTAATTGTTAAGTTCGGCACCAGGGTCGTGGATTCGATTCCCACACGGGACTATTATTTGTGTGAACAAGCGGCTGGTTGTAAAAACTTAGCCAACGCAATCAACAATAAAATTGAAATGTTGTGCCGATCCCACCTTAGATAGGTTAAAGTTAGCAGAAAGAAGAAGAGAGCCGCGTAGTTGCAGCTTCTGTGACATTGGTTAATTGGTCTCAGTCAGTATAGTGGCCTAACAACTTTGTAATCTTACATTTCTGAATAACGACTTAATTGTCTTCTCTTTTAAAAAAAAAAAAAAAACATTGCCTTTACTTTTGGATAACATTATCTTGTGTTGCAAGGACGTTTTACAAACATAAATTTCACGCGGACATCTTGCAGAGGTCGGTAACACAACTTGAACCACATAAATACATTTCTCCCATAAAAAAATCGCGGATAGGTCGACCGAACATAAGATACATAACTCACTCTTCACTATTTTACGTTTGCCACGAGATATAGTAAACATCGCTTAGTAAACAAGGAAGTACGCGAGTTTAACTTTGCACGCTGCAGTTTCATAAAATTTACCGCTCTTACTTTGGCGAGCCGTTCGTTTAAAAGATAAGCTTTGAACATTAAACTGAGTGCAACGAAATATTGAGATTTTTCGAAGCGGGCGCGAAATGTACACCGAATAGTTTAACGAGATATCATGTTTATTCGACATATTCAAATCAACGGGTTTTCGTTTACTATTTTTTGGTCCGTTTCTTGATTGCAAATCGTTAAACGGGGCATAATTACGAAATAGTTTTTTTTTTTTTTATTTAAGAGTACAATTTTTTTATATATGGTTACGATTTCTTGCATTTTGACGTAAGTTTTATGGATACGGCCACTGGTTCGGGACTTCTAATTAATAAAATCAAATCCAGATCTGAACGCACGAGATGTACGAAAATATAGTTGGCTCTGAAAGGATTAGACTTAATTATAAATAATAATTATAAAACTATTTGTGCATGGGTTAGCTGCCATTGCGACTTAAAGCAACTGGGTATATCTGTGACCATGGATGCTGTGAGTACATACATGCATAGTTTTTTTGCAAATATCCCCTTGTTAAACAAAAGATTCCCTTTCCAACGTGAATATCTCTTGTAGATGTGAACGTATAAATATTGTTTATACGTTCGTATCTTCTTATTATCTATCTATATTAAATTGCTTAATAGTAGTTTTGAAAACTACAATTATAAGTCTTTCATTATAAGTTTCATATAGGATTCATAATAGATCAGGGGAAAAAGTCTTTCCGTATTATGTATGTAGAGCCGTGATAGCTCAGTGTCCGGGCGCGCGCCTTTAATTCAATATACTCGAGCAACCTGAGTTCGATCCCCGGTGCCGGCACCAATGAAGTTTTTAACTTTAAGTGCTGACTTATGCTCAGCGGTGAAGGAAAAACATCGTGAGGAAACCTGCATATTTTCGAAATAATAAAAAAAAAATATATATTTCGAAAATATGTGAAGTCCGCCAATCCGCAGTGGGGGTGGACTACGCTCTGATACCCTCTGGAGGCCTTTGCCCAGCTGTGCAACATGTATAGGCTGTTACCTCAATATGTATGTATGAAATTGCAGTAAAATCAACCAAAGACATTTAAGAAATCAGCGAAAAATGAATGATAATAACATTTAAGTCTAATCTAGCACCCTCAGATTTCCACTCGTTTCCGTATCTGTATCGAAAATTCTTTGGCTAGTTTTAGGTTGAAATAAAGACAGGACTGTTAAAACGACCACTAATAATAACCATGCAACGCCTATAGAAAGAGCACGTATGATTAAGAAAGTTAACGCTATTCTGGCCAGTTTATACAGTAGGCATTTCTCACAAATCAAAAGACGTTACCGTATACGTATTTAAGGGAACATCGCTACTTTACTCAACTTAACCTAACATTATACACCAACTTAAACCATGTAATTTATGCGGACGCTTTCTAAGATAGAGCCGTTCGCATTCGACTAAATCCCGTGTCCACGTGCTTACAGCGCCTAACTGCGTCGAACCGGCAACGATAAATCGCCACCGAATCTAGACTCTGAACTCGGTCTATGGCTGGTGCAGGGCAAGGCGTTAAATATAATTTATTTGCTGTGCCTCCATTAACTGAATTAATGCGAAACGCTGCGGTTGTTGCCTCGGCGGTACCGATGGCAAATAAGTCTTTGTCTCAAACCTTTGTTGTAGTAACACCAATTGTTACATCAATTGGCTCATACTTACATATAAATGACTATTAGATAATCTTTAGGATAGTTTCAAAATTACTTCTTTTATAAACATTAGTAATCTTTAGGATAATATTCTTCAAGATTACTTCATTTATACCTTTGAATTATTCTGAGCCATTCGTATATATATTGTTATAATATAGAAATTGATTTTCGCATACTTTGTTTACTAATTGATTTTTTTATGCTTTTATTGCTATATGATATCTTCTATTACTCTCTTTCCACATCTGTTTATTGTTCTATTTTTGATATAACTCGAATTTTTAAAAAAGATCCCTCGTCTCGTATTTCTAGTACCGGGGGCAGGTCCGTCACTTCATGACACGTTTTAATTATTTATGTATTTAATATACACAAAACACAGGATGCAAAAAACGTTTTATGCTCGATTCAACCTAGCAGAAGCTTAGTCTACTTTTCTTTTTTTAGTAAGTACACACGCTTAAATATTCATGTCTAAATATTTAAGCGTGTATACTTACTTACTACAAAACTAGATACTATATATCCCAGCTAGATACTTAGTAACTTACGAGCACTTATACGTAAACGTAAAGTACTAAGTATCGATTAACAATAAGAAAGTTAACCACTGTTCATAGTATCGGTTGTAAGTTACTCTGTTTCACGGTTGTTTCCTTTATTTCTCAGGTGTCGAGCAACTGTCCCGATATGTACCGGAACATGCATTATACCGGTGAGTAGATATTTTATATATATACGAATAATTTGTATAAAACTTGCATGGGAAACATTTATGATCGGTTTGTTAACGTTTTAATTTGCAATACTTTCTACTTTTAACGAATTCTTAACGGTAACTACAACTCTGTAAGATACACGTAAAATTTTATTTATATACAGGGAGACTTTTTAAGTGTATCCATTTTTTTTTATTAAATTCTAGACATAAATAATGTTGTATAAAAAATGATAAATATTTAAAATCACTCGTAATAACATTCATTTTAACTTATCTCAAAAAGTGCGTGATTTATGGGCAACTCATTTCTATATTCATAACTAACATGCACACAAGTTCCTTTCAAATATATACGACACATTTATGAATGACTACCACATTGTCAACAAGTTCTGTGTTTTAGGGAATGGAATGGCAATTTTTTTGATAAATAAAAGTTTGTTTTTATTTCAATAAACGATTATAATACCGAGTCTGAACCTCCTGTGTGAATTTGAGCACCTTTAGAAAAGCCACCCTGTATAATGTTGCAAACATTTTTATTGTTGAATAAAATTTATCATTACCTCAAAAACATTCAGACTCTAATATCAAAATGATAAAAAAATGATAAAAATGTTTTTAATAACATATATTATAGTCATGTACTGAGTGGATGTACAGTAACATATTACTATTACAACATTACTAAAAAGGTATGCACCTCTAGGTTACCTCCTATTCTCATGTTTAATTACAATGATAAAACACTAACGCAGAATAATAACTAACTAATCATATATCATACATAAGAAAACATTTATAATGTTAAAAATCACCCGAAACTTCATTTTGTTTTCACACTATAACCATTGGACGTTTTTCAGCACGTTTTTCTCGCAAGGCACGATCGAAAAAAAGTCTTGCATGCAATCGTAAGAATGTTACAAAAAAGAAATGTCACAAGAAATAGGTATAATCTTTTGCATGAATTCGCCCGTGTTGTATTGACGCCTGGCTTATAATAGCGATGCAATTTTTCCGAAAGATAATATGTTAAGAGCGCGCTTGCGATGCATGATGCATTAATTAAAAGTTGCTATGGCCTGTGGTGGTTTCTAACTTTTATTAACCTGTGACGGATATCTACTTTCGCATTTTAAAAGTGGTAAGAAAAGTATCGTACTCAAGTATGCAAAATTGAATGTTTTGCTTATATATAATAATATATAATACGAAATGATGTTGAAACTATTTTTTTGCATTACTTGTTTTATTGTGCTATTTGATTGTCGTTTATTTATATTGCATGAACTATATCCTTAAAATGGCTTAGTTTTAATGATGAAAAACAATTATTATGTATATTGTTCATAGATAAAAGTATAAAATATAAGTAGGTTTTAAAATATTTTCTTTAATATTTTTAAAACGTGCAGTGTTCATTATTGTAGACAAAACGTAGAATACAGGTAAGAAGCAGCTACAGCAAAGGGCGATATTTCTAATAACAGGAGATAACAGGTAAAAACTGGCGAAAATTACATAAATAAAAGAGATCCAATTACCAATGTCATTGTATTAAATATTTAATGGATATTGTATAAACTGCCTTGACACCGTCACTGGCGAGGTGATGCTTACAATATAATTAACTGTGGTAGAGTCATACGCTGCTCTTTCATGAAAGAACGCGCCCGTCTAGGGCACACAGAAGATGGGTGTCAAGTAGAAGATACTTTCTACTTTTGTCTGGTGAGTGAGGTAAACGGGGCTCATTGAAGCAGTGTATTTCACATACCACATATTTTAATCGGAGTATAGCATATTAAAATACATCAGAGACAACCAATTTATTCGTGGTCGCCTACGAGCAAGGTGAAACCAACCCAACGCGTACACATGGTACACCCGTGGTCCAGGGCGATCGTTACAACCCTCAGTCAACGATTAATACAGTCAATGACCATCGAAGTCATGACCCTACCCTACCCTACTATCGAAATCGATGGCCCGTAGCTGATATTCCTGACCATAGACCATCCATATTTTAAGAGCCGTGATAGCTCAGTGTCCGGGCGCTCGCCTTTAATTTAATATACTCGAGCAAACTGAGTTCGATCCCCGGTGCCGGCACCAATGAAGTTTTTAACTCATCACGTGCTCCGCGGTGCAGGAAAACATCGTGAGGAAACCTGCATATTTTCGAAATAATAACAAAAAAATATATATTTCGAAGATATGTGAAGTCCGCCAATCCGCAGTGGGGCAGCGTGGTGGACTATGCCCTGTTACCCTCTGTATAGAGAAGGCCTTTGCCCAGCAGTGGGACCTGTATAGGCTGTTACTTTACTTTACTTTACATTTCAAATTTATTGTCTGTGTTTTATTTTCCAGCTACACAATGGCCCCGCGAACACAGCATGCGATACAGAAGCGCTGATGACCTGTCTATGCTGTCGCCTAATTGAATAAATTAAGCTATTCGCAAATACGTTAAATTTGTTATCAGTTATAAATTTAAATTTGTGGGTAGTAATTAATGTCACTATGTTGTCATTATATAACAATTTAATGGTTTCTAATTGTTGTTAATTTTAGTCTTTATGGGTGTTTATTCTTGGACCTAGTTTAATTAGATATATTGCTTTTCTATTGAATATATTTAGGTCAAAATAATTTATATTCGAAATAGAACATTTTCTTCAGTTAATAACATTAACACGAATAATAGTCATTATAGTAGTCTATTTATTTATAAAAAAAATAGAAAATGCTTTCCGTTTAAGCGTTTGTAAACCGTCAATTGTGTAGACAATATCTTTCTTAATGTAATCTTCTACTATGTAGGCAATATCAATAACGTAACTAAGCTTATACAAATATGTTTCGTATTAAAACATCTCAGCTAACGTCGAATAATACAAAATACATATAATGAATTATAGAGATGTAGATGTAAATAAAGTGTATATAAATTACATATGAAACATTACTAAACGGAATATCCTAATACGTCCACGGTGTTAATTATATCGATATAATAATTAAAAAATTTTCATTGCCTGTTTTATTTGTATACATCTATGGACATTTGTTTTAAATATTGTCAGCTATTTACACAGTAGTACTAATTACATGAATTCTCTAACGCTATATTTATAAGCAAACATGTATCGTAGGCTTCATAAATTAATATCCATAAGCCTAACTATTGTTGGCTATTGTTTTAGCTGAAAATAGGTGTTAGCCTTACACCTGTATCATCCATTCAAGATCGCTTTAATATTACATCTCATCTTTTAATTGTTATCAATGATTGCTGTTACAAAGTTATCTACCAACTAATTTATTTTACCTTATCATAATTAAAATAACTAGATGTCTATATTAAAGATTAAATAAAAAGGCTTATGATTAGACGTAATAATATTTAGAATAAAGTACATATTTTTCAATTAAAAAATGCTTTTAAATTTCATGCCGTTGTAGTTCGTAATTTGAACCACATCGTGACAGTTTACAGCATTTTTATTATTATTTATTGTAATGCTTTCGAATATTCGACGTTATCACAAATGTAACTAACAAACAATAGGAGTAGGCTGTCAACTTCTTAGTTGACGTCCGCTAATTTCGTAACGTCATAACTTTGTAAAGCAACGACTGTAATGTACCTAAGGAATTTGATGTGTTAGAATAGACGCCCGTGTTAACCTACAATATAAATAAAGTATTTATCATGGTAAAAAGCATTTTTATTGTGATTCCAGTGTTGAAAATGTGAAAATATTATTATTTGTGTTATCTTAGCCGCAAAAAACTTTATACTGCTATCTAAACAGGACGCCATGGGAAGCCGGAAAGCGTAAAGCATTCATATGGCTCTAGTCCAGCCAAAAGATCTAAAATAATGTCTCACATTTCAAATATTTCTCCATGTGTTACAACACACTTACAATTTATTACTTATATTCATTTCAAAGAGTTAACAACTCTAAATAAGTATTACGTACGTATGAAATAAAAAATAGTAATTTAAAGAAGAATCACATAGACACAGCATAGATTTTATGAAAAAACTATATTTAAAAAAAAACTAAATTTTATAAGCTTGTTTTTCTGTTGAATTTAGACTAATCTTACTTATAATATTTTTAATATTATAAATAAAAAATATCTAAGATATACATATCTTTCAAGCGGAACTATCTAAGATATTAAGTTATCTTAAAGTAAGGTAAATCTTATAATTAATAAAAATTTTGAATTTCCTATATACATAACCGTATCTAGAGCAAAAATGCGGGAGACTGAAAGAACATTTCAATCCAAAAGTTTTTGCCACTATCACAGTATGGGGCTTACTAGATTAGCAATAAAACTAGTAAGTGAGAAAGTTCGTGATAGAGCTCGTATGCTGGGAAGTACGACCGGACGTGTCCGACGGCCATGCGGACTGCGACCCCGTTTCCTGCGGAGGTAGAGCATTCTAGAACATAGGGATCTACGGCGTAGCATATGCTACGGAACTTTAAAATTTCATGTGTGCAGTGGTTTGTAAAAATAATATCATGTATTTACTGAATGAGTGTATAAGAGAAATCGAGCTATTTGGAAGGATAAAAAATTGAAATGGTTTTAGAACATCATCTGTAACCAGTAAAGTATCAGCAATTATCATGATGAGATTAACAGAAAATTCAGAAAAGCCAATGTTATACAAGGTGGTGTGTATTGTGATAATTTTGTTTTTCAAATTATATTAGATACTACTGTAGATAAAACCAGAAAAAAAGATAGACACCATAATAACTTATTCCATACATCTATCTAATTTCAGAACGATTGTTTGTACTCTCCGACTGAAAATAGGATACTTTTTGGTGTTCGCATAACGAATCGCAAGAAATATGATTTGTCACTTATTAACTTATATATTAACTTATATACTTAAAAAATTATGCACAGTTGAAAATAGTTTATCGTATTATAAGGAATAATATAAAACTAAGAAAAGGTTTCACTGTGTTTATACTTGAAAAATATATAACATATATGTTATGAAATATTGTTAAATACAAATACATATTTAACAGAACTCTTTAATATTTTTTTCTTTACAATATGTAGTATTTGCGTTACTCGTGGAATGCGATACTCATATCTTTGAAGAAAATATTCAGCTTTAAACATAAACTACTAAAACATTTAATAACTAAGAAAATATTACAAAAGTTATAAAAGTCGGTATGTGAGTATTAAGAAGAACCATTCAAACGTTCACATCTTTGTATATTACTAATGTTCTTTTGAAAGCTCTCCGTAACAGGAACTTCCGCAGGAGGAAGTGGCCGGCAGCCATGTTGTCTGCGGCTGAACTTCCGTTTCCGTAGCAGTTGCTTGTCTTGCTTGAAACTCGCAGACTGCTTGGAACGTTTTCGCATGTTTTTAAGCGTGTTCGGAAATTTTATGAAACTAAATATAAAATTCGTACTAATAGCGTATGGTGAGGATCAAAAGGACTTCCTGTAGATTATATAAATAGTGACAAGGTGTTTATATTAGTATTACTGTTTTTATATTAGTTTTACAATATAAAAACTTGGCACTAAATTACAGAACTCTGAAACACTTTGCTGCTGTAATTGCAAGTGAAACATGGCAGAGATAAACAGCAAGTAAGGCCCCTAAGATAGCTATAACGTTATCTTTTATCCTTATTTTATTTTTACATTTGATTAGGACAACAAATTTGGGAAGCCTGATTAATAGTTTTTGATGGACTGCAGATTACGCGGTTTGCTGGAATACGTAAAGATTTAATAATCTTTTACAGGGACTTGCAAATAAAATTTATTGTATTATACATAAGTTTTTTTTTTTTATTTCTTGTGACTACTTTTTTGTTCATTGGTCTAATTAAATTGAAAATAACTTTTGTAGCGAATACGAGATCATCAGATACAATCCAATAAGAGGTGTATAGTTAATAACTAGTTTTTGTTGGTGCTTAGATGGGCTCAAGTAAAAAGAAACGATAACTGTATCTAAATAGATGCAGATATAAATATTTACTTAAAGAAAAAAGTTATATGTTGCTAAACAATTTAGTTAAGAAATTTTATTTCATATTTTGTTGTTGAGGTACTTCTTCAGTTATTATGATCGATACTGAATTTTTAAAATGTCTGTAATTTCATCTTGTCTCAACGTCGAAGTAGCGGTTGCGAATAGCGTCAGCAAAACAAAGAAATCGTTATATTAAAAGGGCCAAGGATAATTAAACCTTTAATTGAGAATTCCTTTTAATCGCCAGTGTTAACAGTCTCTGTTTCTATTTCACTTAAAAAACAAATATGTTATAATAATTTCTTAATTCATTTTAACCTCACACTTTCTTCTAATATATGCAATGTAAAATTGTATGTAGAAGAATTTATGTTATTATTTATATTTAGGGAATGACTTACAGCCAGTTTCAATATTCTATTTACAGATAGATTTTATTCATATTATTTTATGTGAAATTTTATAGAATTTTTAATAAATTGCAATTAAGATAATATGAATAAATAAACATAGTAATGAATAAACAACTTAATAACATGAACTTTAGCATATTATAAATAATTTTACGGATTTTTACGCGTTAAACTGGTTAAAAAATAAATTCTCGATGATTCGTAGTTTTGCTTTAGTCTTGTCTCCATAATCCGCGTGAGGTGGACTAAATGTTGAAAATAAAAAAATCTAATCGTCAATTAGTTTTGTTTAATTACAAGAAATATGTTATAACATAATCGATACCCTTATTTGGACTAAAAAATAATTGCAACTTGAAACACTGCAATTGTGAACCAGGAATATATTTCTCTGTACTTCAGAAACTTTAGGAATGATTTATTGTACTAGCTACAATGTAATCTCCATCGATCGAATGATACCAAAATAAAATTAAACGATGATAAGAGAAAGGAACTGGTTCCAAGATGAATTAAGCTGGGGAGAATGCTACTAAACAACGCTTTAATAATTGACAAACTACAAAGGTTGTGCCCTTTAGACAAATAATACTTTTTTCTTCATAACACAGCATAGCTTAATTTCTATGAATTTGTGATATGAGAAATAAAATTAAATGTGTGTAATACTAAGCCCAGTAATATAAACTCGATAAATAAGGGATATCGCTTACTATTGGTGCAAAGGGTACAAGGTTTTGAAACGTTGGGAATTTAAAAATCAAATTCAAACACGATAAATCCGTAAAATAGCTTCATCTAACCATATATAATATTCACGTAATAACAAGAAATCAATATTCTTTGTTCTTATTTATTATTTTTCAGTTTATTTGCCGACAGTACATTTCTCTACCGACAACCGAGTTACTGTTTATTGACAGCGTAATGCACGGCGCACCACTTATTGGTCCCAAACAACTCACTTAGTACAGAAGTTGGGA